AGAATTTTCTATCGCCTTTTCTATGTAACAAACCTACCCATCTGAAATAAAATAACTGTGTATAGCAATCTATACAAACAAATACAAGTTAGAATACAAGAATACAAATTTACCCGGTATCTGGTTCGTTTTCACCCCTGCAATTGTTTCCCATGGATTTTATAGTATTTGCCATTTGCCTTGCAGGACTTTGGAAGCAATGATTATAAAATCCTTTAACGTCATCCCATAGTACGGTTATTCTGTCTGAATTTTTCTGTATATCTAATTCATTCCATTGTGCATACACGTTTGTGCTGAATAAACACTTCAGCAATTGTTGAACGCACTGAATGGTTGCAGTGGGAGATAATACGACAGTGCTTTGTAGATAATGTAGAATTTCTTCTGCTATTTGAGCTGCTTCATTGACTGATATAATTTCAAGAATTTGCGAAAGAACATCTAGAATCGCATTTAACAAAGACAAATACATTTCGCTAGCATGCGGTTCAAGTGTGGCTAGGTAATTCAAATGCGCTGCTTTAAGATTTTCGTACATTTTCATATAATGCGGTGTTGAAACAAACGCACCCATTTGCTCTTTTATAAATTTCAAGCTTCCAAATTTTTCTCCTTTCTCTTTCAACTTCGGTTCAGACATTATTATCTTCTTTTTCGGCGATAACGTTTGCGTAGATGACAAAGACGATAACGCCGTTTTTGTACTAGTTTGTGTCAATTGCACGTCGTCGATTATATGAACAAATATATTTAACACTCTTGTAATATGTGTTAACAACAACTCTATTTGTTTATCCTTAAACGTGCCCCACCAAGTTTTAGTTGGATCATTGGGTTTAAAATTGCAAAATGCTAAACCTGATGCAAGATTGCCAGCAAGAAGTACCAAATGTTTATGCGTTAACAAGTCTAAGCTTATAGGAGACGATGACAGTAAGGGTAAAGCCAAAGATAAAAGGCTGTTGCTCACGGACGATGGCATCATGTCGCTTGTAAAATTTGATTCGCTAATATCTAATCGACTACCGTTCTTTTTATGAGACCTTTTCAACAATGTTTTAGGTGAAATACAATCCCATCCTCTAATATATACTGTAGTATTATATACATCACTTAAACGAAACAGAGCTTCACAACAGCCATACACTAAATACTTCGATGACTGTACTCCAAGAATCTCAGCCAACATGTTGATTACAATCGACAACGAGTATTCTACATTTGGACGATAATTCGTCGAGTTATGGAAGTTTAAAGCTGCAAATGGCTGTATTGACGTATTTATAAAGAACTTTTGTTTCTCTTGACAAGAGGACAGTTCTACTGAACTCCGGGTAACTGCGCTCATATATTGCTCCGTGTATTGTATGGCCTTTCGCGTAATAACATCATCATGTGGTTGTTGGAAATGTAATAAAGGAATACTCCTAAAAAAAGAGTTATGTTAATCGAGGACATCTAAAACTTGAACAACAAAAGATATAAACTCCGATAATTACTTTACAATAGCATCTGATGCTGCATGCCTAATTCTTTGATCTTGGTCACCTAACAGAGTTATAATAACATTGATAAAATGTTCTTGGAACATTGATCCACCAGTTATATGTTCTATAGTAACATACGATATCTCACTCAATAATTCCACTAATTTAACTTTTACCAGAAAATATGGATTCTTTACTAGCTGAGGTAATACAGTTAACACAGTGATTCCATATTTATTGTCAACAGACTCTAACAACTCTGGTAGACATAAACTGAATGCTGTTAATGTTTGTCGACATGTGGTAGCAGAATCATCTTCTAATCCCTGTTTTAAACATATGCTCATCAAAATTTTCGAATAATCATTCCAATATATGAGAGAATTTACCTTTAAAAGTAATTTAATTAAATTGTCTAGTGATATAATTCCACATAAGTTTTTATCAGTAATCTCTGCCTCAAATTTTTTAAAAGAACCTCCATATTGTGTATATACAGATTTCAGGAATGTACCAATAATAATTGATATATTACCCCTAATTTGAGGATCTGGATGACTTGCAAATAATAAGATATCCGTTATCATTTGTTTATTCTCGTTAGAATTCGGTTCTTTGGCAACAGGTATTAAAAATAGATTCGGACAAAGTTTCAAAATATAAGCCACGCAAGTTAAAGCAAGAGACTTTACACTAACACGAAAATATTTATCTGGTATTACATGACCAATGTTGCCAGTTAAGAGGAAAGACGATACCAAATAACGACAACAGAATTTTAACGGTATGTCAGGATCTGTAAAAGTTCCAACGTCTATTTCTCGTAACGAAAAATCTAAAGATAGTTTTTTAAGAGATGCGATAGAACATGTGATTTCTTCGGTATAATCCACGTCCCTTGGTTCATTTTGTACACTTGAATAAACTTTCTCCGATTTTTCTATTTCACTTCCAACATCACTACCTTCTTCGATCGTTTCATCTGGAATAAACGTAATACAATTATTTCTTCAAATGATACATATCCTTTCTATACTACACTTTTTCTCTTACTGTCAATGACTCCGATCTTCAAATCACTATAATTTTCTAAAATCTTTCCTTTCATTTCTACAATATTATTTATGCATTCTTTTGAAATTTGTACATTTTCCATCAAAGGAGGTATAGTCTCAGAATCTAACATCCACTTTTCTATCTTTGGATTTATTTCAGGTATATCAGAATCAAGTAAATTTAAGGTATAATCGGAATTTTCTCCACAAGCAGTTGCAGCACTAGATGTGCTTGCTTGACTTAATGATAACATCATTTCATTTTGATTCACTGCTATTTTACTCTGTGTTATACCTTGATTTGATAATAATAATGATACTAGAACTTTTGGAGGCGACTTCAAAAACTGAGTCAGTGTCTCCAGAACAGCATTTATAACATTATGATCAGAATGCCATTTTGTATAATGCAAACATAGTTCATAAATTTGTAATAAGCTATCTGTCTCTACTGTGTCATCATCTGGATCTTCTGATGGATTGCATATATGTGGTAAAATTATTCTTATACAACCAAATATACCAATAATAGCTGCTATACGGTTCTCATCTTCACTTATAGGCACTATAATACCTATAAAAAGTAACATTTAATTGGTGAAAAGTATGTTACTTGTACTTGTATAACATTCATAAGTTTACCTAAAAGATGCTTCAGTACATAATTTAAAAAAAACTGTGGTCTGCGACAATTCAAACATGTTGCTAAAATCATATTTGCTGCAGCTCTACGAAATGCTGCTTGTACACAGGATATATTTTCAAAGAATGCTTTCAATAATGTCTGAAAAAGAAGCATGGATTCATAGTTATAATATAAGTACTAAAATAAAAGAAAATTACCTTGATATCATTGTCTGTCATAAATGGCCCTAGTGCTTTCATAATTAATGGTAATGATTGCGATAGCGTTTCAATTACAGATTCCTCAGAACGATGTGCAATAGTTACTATACATGGTATCAAATTAGATACATATGCTTTTCCTCTTGTAGGGCGTATCATATGACTAAGAAGACCAAATCTCCAAAGAGCAGCTCTCAATGTTCTAGCAGGTCCATTCCTTTTTATTTCATTGTAAAGTTCTATTTGAACTTTAACAATATTACTATCAGCCATTGCCTTTAAAATAAAATACTATTAAAACATCTATAGCTTTAATATCAAAGATTATGAAATATAAATCCATACCCTTATAATTTTATTTAATGTTTCATCTGCTACCGTTCTGACATCAGATTCGTCATCGTTACACAGTGTCAGTAAAGTTTCAATTGAAAGACTAAGTACCTGAGGAAACTTGGTTGCTAGTTTGACAGTTGGTGAACATATTCCTTCTGTTATTGTCATGCAACATGTTAATTTATCTTTCCTTTTAATGAAATAAAGGATATATTAAATTTTGTAACATATTATATTCCATAATTTTTATTAATTTTTTATAATAACTATATAAGTCCTAATTTTACAAATTATACAAAATTCTATTGCAGGTATTTAGCTATAAACTATATAAACAAAAATAATGTATTCAATTCAAAAGTTTTGCATTATTTTATTCATACGATCATTTCAATTATTAAATGAAAAAAACAATTTGTTCTTGTACCTTGCGTTCGAATCTGACAGAAGAGTGTTTGACTCTTGAGCTGATTTTAAAGCTTCTATAGCTTTTAACACGTTATTTAATGTTGTCATTTTGCCAAATATTTATTAATAAATTGTTCCTCGCTTTGTATAAATCAATCAGTTTTGACAAATTACATTTTGATAATGTAGGCCGAATTTATGACAGACACATCGTACGTAGAAAACTACATGCTGCTCGGTAATATATTTATTTGCGATTCAAACGTCACACTAAAAGCAATTGCTCACTTCAATTATACAAAAGAACGAGGCATAAGAAAATTGGTGAAATAGACGTTTAATGCGTATTTGCCGTTACTCTTAAGCTTAAGTGAAAGAACCGCTGTTCAGATACTAACCCTATCTATCGTTCCACAATAAAGGATAAAATGAATGCAATGTATGTATAATCTTCTTTATTTTTACTTGAGAACTTGATAACAATTTATTTAAACTATATCAATACAAAACAAAATAAGAAAATATTCCACGTGGGATTTATTTAAATGATGTAATATAAAACAATATGAAACGGTGGATGTAGACGATGTAGTGCACCATGTGATGAATATAAAAATAAGTGTTCATACATAATTAGAGTGATCAATTTTTCAAAATGCAGTATAGTTGGTAATTTATATAATGTGCAGGTTGTTATAAATCTTTTATTTTTTTGTGCACCGTCAATAAAGATGACATATAATGACTTGAAAATAGAATTCAAAAGGCAGGTATAATAAGATTAAATAATGTACAGAGACTGCATTGGTATTGATAGAAATATATATTTAATTTTATTCGATAACGTAAGTTAACAATTAACCTATTTATTATTCGATTTTCGAGGTAGCCATATTACGTCCAGACATTTCCATTGCGTAGCGAGAAATACATCTCAACACAAGTTTACCATTGTCTGGTTGTTTAACTTTGTATATTTTTTTTTTTTTTGTATATTTGCGTCAATATTGATCACAAGAAATTAGTAAATAACATAGTAAATTTACAAGTTGCAACGTGTAATAATAGACCTTGAATAGAGTTAATGGGTGAGGTGAACGGGTTTCGGTTTTTTTTACACCATACATTACCGGCAGAAGATTTATAGTATTCAAGAAATATTTGCCTTCCTTTAAGTTATAACAATCTAATAGTTTATATAAGAAGTTTTTAAATTTATCCGCGTCTGTAAAACGTAATACACCGTTTGAATAGCCTAATTTTTAGAATGTTTTGTATACGACCGAGTCAACCCTTTCGATCAGTAGTTACAACTCAAGAACAAAGGTTTGCATCACGTGAAGAAGTACTTTTAAATATCTTTTAGTTAAATTTATTCTTAGAAAAGTAAAAAGTATGTTTTCGCATCTACATTATGCATTATTTCTGTATTCAATATTTGTTTGAATTATGCTATGTATAATTAAACGTATTAAATTTTTAAATTAGCTGATATACATATTATATATGAAAATAAATATTAATTTTGATTAACTTGTTACATATGGAAATATATTGTTAGTTAGGTTAGATTTATAAAATTGAGTTGTTCATCTTAGTATTATGAATTTATTATCTATAATTTGCAGAAACCTTAACAAGTTCTGGATGTCTAAATATGCCAGGCTGTGCAGCAGTTGGCTGCAACAATCGTAGTGAGAAAGGTTATATTATGAAATGTTTTCCACGTGATCCAAAGTATAGAAAAATTTGGCAAGAGCGTGTTGCTAGAGCTGATTGGGAACCATCAAATAACTCATTTCTTTGTCACGTACACTTTGAACCTCAGGAATGGTCTATAACACAAAGTGGAAGAATTAGACTGAAGAAGAACGCAATTCCTTCTATATTTACAGTGACATCTACTAGAAAATCACCTAAAAAAAGAACTAAGATATTTAATAAGAAAGGTGAAAACTTACTGCAAGGTGAATATAACATAGAATATACAGAAAATGATACAGAGCATTCATCTATTGAACATTTAGAAGAGAAAGATTTGGATTTTCAGGAGATTGAGGAACTATCTATACAACAAACTACTAAAGATTATCTTAAACATACCCATAAATATACAGAAGATAAGAGAGAAGAAAACATTAAGGTTAATCATCAAAGGCAAAATATTGTGATGATTGCTGATGATAACCTCACTGATATTAATAATTTAGTGGAGCAATACAGTCTGGAAGTTCAACCAAACAATAATAGAAAGGAAATTAAATTATCCTTATTTATGAACAATTCAGAAACTACACAACTATCAAATACCACTATAAAGAAAGAAATTAAATTAGAGGTTATGGATCATAACACACTTGAAGATAGTTATGATGAAATTGAAGAGAAGTTAAAACAAATTTGTGATGGTGGATCTACTGAAGATGAAAATTATAAAAATGAGATTGAGAAGAAGTTGATGGTTAAGACTCAGAAGGAAGGTGAAATTGAAGAAAAAATGGACACAAAAGTTGAATTTACTACTGATGACCATACAGTTGAATTTACTACTGATAACCATAAAGTTGAATTTACTACTGATAATCATAAAGTTGAATTTACTACTAATGACTATAAAGTTGCTTCGCCTGTTAATAAAAATCATTTATCAATAAAAAACGAAGTCGGACATATGCTTACAGACAAAGAAGAAAATGTTGAAATAATATTTGGTACTGAAAGTGGGGATGAAAAAACATCTGTATCGCAAACTGTATCAAAAATGAATAAAGTGAAAAATAGTGCACTGGAACATGATGAAATGATTTATATTAAAGATGAAAAGAAGATTTTCAATGAAGACATAGAAGAAAATTTTACTAAAGATGAAGTTTATGTTATACCAAATATAAGAGCGGCTATGAAGCGTAAGAGAAGAACTAGAGAAGAAATAATGAGATCAATAAAGAAGTCATTTAGAAGCAATTCAGATCAAGATATTAATTCTTCAAGTAATAGTGACTCATCTGAAATAGAAATAAAAGATGAATTACCTTTGTTTTCTCAGCAAACAAATGATATTAATAAAAATGATGTAGAAATAGAAACTGATAAATTTGTTATCAAAGTAACTGGTGACCCTGATGATGTGACTGAAATTATTGAAGAGTTATCACTTAACACAACAGGAACACAAATATCTAAAGAATTCAGTACTGCTACCAAAATTGAGGAAAATGATTTACTCATTACATCTGTTATAACAGTAGAAACACCAAAAGATCTGAAAGGTATTATTTATGGAAATTTTAATAATTCACTAATAAAGAATGAGTATGTAAGTAAAGAAACTTCACTAATGAATCAATTTCCTTATGAAGACAGAGAGTTTACAAGTTTCAATTCAACTCATAGTTCTAAAACATACTATCCTTCTTGTTTCAAACATACATGTTCTGATGACGAAGAAAGGATAAGGACTAATTTACTATCACAAAATTGTACACAAGGTGTTCAAACTTCCTTGGGAAATAATCCTAGTTGTGTTTCCTCAGATTATGAAGATCTGTTAGAAAGAATACAAATTCAAGAGGATGTAATTGCAAAGTTAACTGACCAGTTAATTATTTATAAAGAATTTGAAAACAGTATAAAAACCACAGGACATGAAATGCAAGTCAAAGAAGTGGAAACATCTAGAATTAATACAAGATCAAGTAACATACAATCTACAATACTTAATAAAAAGAATTTAGAATCCAAACGAAGATTGATAAAAGACTTATCAAACAGAGTAAACTATTTTGAAGAAATGAATAAAAAATTAACAAAAACTGTAACATTGGCATCTCAGCAAAAAAGAAAGCTTGAAGGGCAAATTAAACAAAAGGATAATCAAATAAAGGAACTTAATTGGAAGTTGGAAAAAGCATCTAAATATCTTGAAAGAGCAGAAAAAAACACAAACACTTACAGAAGGAAGATGTTAAGTATGCAAACTGTTATGAGAAGAAGAAAGCTTTTGGATGAAAAAATGTGCAAATTTAATGAAATGTTACTAGACAGCTCTAAACAAGAATTTTCAGAAAAGGTTTTATCCATGGCAACAGAGATTTGGGAACTTTATGGGAAAAATGAATATGATAAGCTGCTTTCTTATGGGTTTCCATTACCACCATTACCAGCTTTAACGGAAGAACTTCTTACTGAAGAATTTACAGATCTTAACAGAAGTGATATAGACGAGGCACAAAATTCTACGAAGATAAGTATTAAAGCAGAAAAAGCTCATGATACAAATAATGAATCTGAAATAGATGAAAAGGACGCAGAACATGTAGCTTCAGTTGGCAAAGCAACTGAATATGAAAGTGCAGAAACTGTAACAGGAACTGTGCAAGACATTTTTGATGAAAATAATGATGGTGATGATTTTAGTACAAATGAATTAAGAGAACATTTTATTCTGCAATTAAATGCAGTTATGTAGCCATAATTTTGTATTTTAATTATATTTTTCTTTTTACATCTTAAGAACTGTAATATTAAAATCATAAATACTTAGGTCAAATCTCTTTTGTCATTGTACTATATGTACCATTGTGCTCTTAAGAATTATATTTATTGTATAGTATAATCCAGTGTTCTTACTTCAAATGTAAATATATATGTACAAATATTATTATATGCGTAATATAAAAGACCATTTTAAGTGATTGATTGCAGTATTAAATCATTGCTTATAAATAATTTTCTGCATAATGGTCTATCGATCTATCTTAAAGTTATACAATACTTTATGTTTCTTATTGACAAGATTTATATTTTAGTAGTAAAATAAGAAAAACAGATCTGCTACAAATTTGTTTCTGATGTTCTTCTAAATTTATCTTTGGCAATAATACTCCAATATTTGTGCATCAGTAAAATGTTAAAAGTATATGAATTCAATTATGTTATTTGAAAAAGAGAAGGGGCAAAGTAATGAAATAGTAATTAAAATCTTTTACACAAGATGTATGAAAGATAATAGTATAATAATACTTCTGCATATTCAAATTTTATGCTATCTAATTACTTCATCGCTGAAGATATTTATACTATGTATGACATAGGTAATATATAAGTAGTATGTTAAAAATATGATTATAAATTTTGAGAAATTATATAGGGTGATTCTCTCGCTGGTTAATTCATAGGTAATGTCGCGTGCCGCGACGATAATGTCATGTAACTGTAATAACTAGGAAAGTGGTCACCCTGTATTTGTCTCATTTGAATAATATAAGGTAGAAGACATTATAACAATAGTAAATACACTTGATTATACATATGTGTATATGTATTCTTTTTTCTTTTAACACAATTTTTATTAGAATAATTACAATCCAGTGGCAGACTTGTTATTATTAACTTTCTTTTTCTCCTTTGATTTTCCATCCTTGGATCCAAGTATTTTATCACATTCGCACCAAGGTGTAATCATTTTATCACACATTAGAGAAATATTAAGGACTGTTAATGGAGTATCTTCAATAGTCATTGTAATCATACCTAATATTTTATAAGAAACGTTATTTAAGCCAGTTTGACGATCTCGTTTTCTAGTAACCTCCCGTTGATTATAACATTTTATCATATCTCGCTTCCTATGGTTTCTGTCATGTATATGTCTACAATAAATAAATGTAACACAATCACTAATTTATGAACATTTATTTATATTAATATTTAGTGTATATATAAATCTGTTACGGAGTGTCTTACTTGAATGTGTTGTGTGTTCCAGTAGATATATTTTGTGGTCTTATAACACTTAATCCAGCTTCTTTCAATCTAACATAAAATTCATCATCTTCAAGACCCCATCCCCAATATTTATTAGACATTCCATTCACTTGTATAAAATGTTCTCTGCAGAAATATTTTTCTTGTTAATTTAATTTACATGAATTTATAAGTATTTTATACAATAATAACTATTATAATAAGAACCTTTTAATAAGTAATATTCCACCAACAAAAGTTGTATAATGGTATCTAGGATGTAACTCTGGGGAAGATATATGATATGGGCTCTTATTAGGGAAAGAATATAATAATTCATCATTTATAGGCAACAAGTCTACATCATGTATAGCTATATAATCAAATTCTTTGTTAATTTCAAGAAAGCCTACATTTATAAGAGAGGCCCGATTAAATCTAAATCTATCAACCTATAAAGATACATGATATTATTATTACATTTAAATAACATGTTTTAGTTTATTAATAATTAAATTAACCAGAATGTACCTGATTAAGTACAAATATGTGATAATTTATATTTTGTTTATCTAAAAATTTTTTCATATGTGGAGCAAATATCAGTAATTCTTCAAAGCGATCTCGAAATGGCACAAGTATAGCTAAACGATGTAAGGTTTTTTTGTAAATTTTATTATCATTACTTTGCCATTTATTATTACTGTATTGACTTGATTGTGTAGCTATTTCACACTTGCATTCATCTAAAATTTTATTTAAACACTTTGTAATTCATTGTTATATTAAATATATAAAAGACTTACCAATACTTATAGGTGCGATACTTATCAGGCATGAAATAATAAATGTAATTAAAATGCAGGCAAATATATATTTAAATTTTATATTCTTCCAAACAACTTCCATGCCGAATAACAAGTATTTAAGTAAAGTATCTTTAGTTTAAAAATACATAAATTAATCATTGAACAGTCTTACAAAAACTTATTAGTATGGCAACATTTTCTTATTCTGAGAAAGTTTATAAAGCATTGATACTTTTTATCCTTTTCCCTATTTACAGTAGATTGTGATTAAAATTAATACAAATCGCATTGCAGCTTGCATAGTTAAAAATTACAGCTGCATTGATTTGTTAAACGTGAGGTATCCTTGATATCACGCACAAAAATTAGGCAATTACGAGCAAAATTTTGTTGCTCTCACATAATTTTTCATAAATTTTTAAATAATAATTTTTCATAGATTTTTAAATAATTTTTTCATAGATGTTTAAATAAAGTCAATCTTTCTTCAAAACTTTTTATCTTTGTTCTTCAAAGATTCATCGGTCAATGGACCGAGAAGAATACGTTTTTTGCACCAAATGTACATATTTTCTAATTCATCGTATTCACAATTATGACACATACAGAAATTTAATCTGGACATCATCAATGTTCAACGTTGCTCAATTGAGCATACATAAAGCATTTATGCTATAACACAAACAATTAACCATATTACCGAAGAACAAATTGTACTACTGACATTGTACTCATTACTGATTGCAAGATTATTTGTCCTGTACTATTTAATGCTATGATAATCAATTCGGTAGTTATAATACTTGTTAATTGAAATTATATTATCTTTTTGAAAAATGAGAGATTATCTATATATTTTTAACTGATTACTTTATTATTCAAAAGTATCACTTTATGTATCATAATTCAATGATAAATAAAGTAAATTTTATAACTATATTTTCTAAATGTGCAATGATATTAATTTCAATATTCAATTTATTTATTAATTGTATTAGTTATATAATCATTAGTGAGCTTTTAAAATTAATATAAATGTATGAAAAGCGAATGAAAATGTTGTATTAATACTAGAATATTCAATTAACAATTGGAGAACGAGTGATATTTTACTACAGTTCGCTACACCCTATAGCACTGTGAATGAATAATACACATAGTATAGTAATAGTATAGTAAGTTTGTAGAGTACTAAAGTAATGGGTGTTGCCTTTCGTAGCAATTAATGCTTAGACGAAGAAAGTATAAAAATGCTACCAAACAATTGCATAAATCTAATTTTAATACTCTTCAGTTTATCCTGTCGTTTTATATATGGTATAAAAGATACTTTTATTTTTTAATAGTTTAGTATCGCGATATTCACTTTGTTTAATGACTAACCGTTTGTTATTGTCTAATTATTAATTGTTGTTTATCTTCAAAAATAACAAATGTCAAATTGCAAAAAATATTTACAAATCGATTGATATGATTATCGATATGATTATGATTAGCATTAATAACGATGTTTAAATCCATTCACAGGACAAAACCTCAACAATACTGTTACATGGTGTACAATATCTGATGCTGAACAGGATAAGTGCAAAGCATTTTCAAGAGCAGTTGATCGCGAAATAACATATTTTGGGCGTAGTTACATTTCTGTGCAATGCAAACAAGCATTTAATAAAGAAGGATGCATGGCTATGTTGGATCAAGAAAAAGCAGATATAACCACTTTAGATGCTGGTGAAATTTTCATGGCAGGACGCTATCATAGTTTAATCCCATTAATGCAGGAAATATATGAAAGTGGTGTCAATTATCAATATGCGGTAGCAGTTATTAAAAAAGGATCTTTACCAGATGTCCAGAGTTTACGTGATTTGAGGGGTAAAAAGGCTTGTTTTGCTGGCCTTGGGATGCTTGCTGGTTGGGTTATTCCAATTTATACAGTAAATATTATTTCTTTTTACTATGTTTCTATGTAATATATACTGTATTAACCAAAATTGGTCATTTTTCTGTTTTATACAGCTTATGAAAGAAGGTGGATTAGAAATTATAGATTGTAATAATCATGTTAAATCTACCATCAAATATTTTGGGCCCAGTTGTGCTGTAAATTCATTGATAGATAAATATAATCCATTAGGTATGATTGATAATAACTTTACCTAATGTCCATATTCTTTATAGCAATTTTAAATTTTAGGTGATAACTCTGATCAATTATGTAAATTGTGTATTGGAAAGATACCTGGAGAGAGGTGTACAACTTCAGATCCTTATGCAGGATATGAGGGAGCATTTAGATGTTTGGTAGAAGCAGGAGAAATTGCTTTCTTAGTAGACACGACTGTGGATGAGATGACATCAACAACATTTGACTTTAGTATGTTTTTAATTAAAGGGCTTTACCATTAAACTATATTACAATATTAGTAAATAATATCAATTTTTTTAAGATTCTGTAAAGAAGGAGCAATTTGAATTACTTTGTCGAGATGGTACTCGTAAACCGATTAGTGAATACAAATATTGTAATTGGGGTATAGTTCCATCACGCGCTATAGTTACATCGTCTGCTACAAAAATCGAAACCCGTCGATTATATCAGCGATTTTTAGAGACAGCAGTTCAGGTACTACGCAGACATAACGCAAAAAATTCGACCGAATTTTATGACAATCGTTTCGAAAATCGGCCAGATTTTAATAATAGATTTAACAACACTGAATATGTTAATCCAAATGAATATAGCACAGATAACTTTGAAAATCGTAACGGGAATGAAAGAAGCTATAATGGAAATGATTTGAATACATGGGACAACACAGAATCAACAAACATACAACCAATAGAGACTTTCAATTTATTTGAATCTGCACCTAAATATGGAATGCATCATAATTTGATTTTTTCTGTAAATACAATATTCTTTTTGACATTATTGTTACCTTTTTTGAGATAATTTTATTTTAAACTGTATAATTTTAGGATACAGCCAGAGATTTCATGGAATTAAGTGAAAAAGAACAAGTGTATACTGGTTATTTAGGTAGATCCCTTGATGTAATATTAGAAATGCGACGTTGTCCCGTCAGTAAAATGACCCTATGTATTACGTCTGATCCAGAAATGGAAAAATGTATAAAAATGAAGGTAATGATTTAAAAAAATAAATATTATACCTCTAAATTAAATATAATTATTAATGTTTATTTTCATATTAGATAGCATTAAAGGCGCAATTGTTGAAGCCAGAATTAAATTGTCACAAAGGTTACAGTCAAATTCATTGCATGCAGGCTATACAAAGTGGGTATGTATATATGTAATATTGAAAAAGTTTGCAGATAAAATAGGAGAATTTAGTGTAAAACAAAATTCATTCTCTTTTTTTTTAGAATTGCTGATGTGGCAGTATTAGACACCAGCGACGTATATACTGCTGGTTTACGCTTTGATTTGATTCCATTTATATCTGAAGTTTACAATTTACCTACGCCAGAATATTATGTGGTTGCAGTGGCAAAAGAGGAGGATGATAACACGGATTTAACTTATCTAAAAAATAAGAACACTTGTCATACAGGAATCAATACAGCGGCAGGTTGGGTGTATCCGTTAGCATATCTTATTTCAAATACATGGATCAGGGGTTATGGTTGTGATTCAGTTCACGCTGCTGCAGAATATTTTAGTAAATCTTGCATTCCGGGCGCGCTTAGTACCGAATACAATACAGGTAATTGCAATTCTTGAACTA